CTCAGAGTCCGGCGCACTTCCTGGGGTCTTGGTCGGGACGTGTTCTTTGGTGTCAGGGCCTTAAAGGGCCCATGTCATGCTTTTCCGGTTATTACCCGTCCCCTTGTGTGTTATGAAGGTTTTTATGCATGTAAACGGTGTGCAGAGTCAAAACCCTCAAAGTACACCCTGTAGCGAGTAAAACTCTAACGCAGAAAATACCTCCCCAAAACGCCTCGTTGGAGATACGTCACTGCCCATTTGAGTCTTCCATTTAGTTCCGGGTACGGCATGATGTCATGCGGTACCCGGAACGAAATGGACCAATCCCGAAGAGCTATGGCCACACCCAGCGGCGCTGGCCGCACCCTCTGCCAGCCTAACATTTACTGTTGGAAGCTCTGGTTCAGTTCACAATCGATCCAGTCATGCCACTGCCAAGGACCTGTTTCCTGAAATGTGAGGAGAAATCTGAGCTGTTTGTCCTACCGACGGAAGAACCACGACGAAGTCAGTGGTTGAAATTTCTTTTTAACACTGTTCCTTCAGAGGTTCGAAGAACGTTACTGTGTGCGAGTCATTTCACAGACGAAAGCTTCCAAAACATTGCCCAGTTTGAGGCCGGATATGCACAGCATTTGAAACTGAAGGACGATGCTATTCCTAGTTTGTTTGGACCGTTTGGAGCAGGGGAAGATTCGGGTACACAACCTGTAAGTTTGCATTGTTATTTGTGTATTTATCAAACAAGGTATCTACCACGACTGTTTAAATGTGTAAACATGTTTCGGACTGCTAAGCCAGTGCTAACTGTGCTAACTAAGTTGCTAGCGTTTCCATATCAACTCTAATATCAGCAGATGGCCTTACATACATGTATCTCATAGCAGGAGAATGTCTGCATTCACACACGAAATACTCATAGACAGTATACTCTGTCGGTGATTTACCGTACGGTCAGTCGCGAAACGTAATTACATTATAGCTGGCGTTCCGAGCGTGTATGCTACCGAGCTAAACAACAAGGCTACTAAGAGCTAGACATGAGTTTGCTCGGAAAAACATTGTTTTTATGCCAGCTACAATGAATGTAGCAGACTACCCATATAAGATTGCAATTGTAAACATGTGCTTGATAGCCTAATATGAACCACTATCTGTTGTTCATAGTATAGTATAGCACATACCTGCCAACCCTACCGATTTGGGCGGTAGTCTACCGCTTTTGACATGTTTCTACCGCCTACCGATTTAGCTGACTCTCCCTACCGATTTTCAATCTTCCCAAACTATAACAAATAAAAATGACACTACATAGACACTGGACTCGACTTTTGGCGGACACCGTTTGCAGCGTGTCTGTGATCCCATCATACAAACAGTCCTCTGTGTTTCAGTCGATCGCGAGATGTGTCTAAAAATAGAACGACAATATTCTGTTTTATCGTTAATGTCCTATAACATAATCTTCCTGTGCCAGAATAATGCACTTGAACGCATCAAAGCTTTGTGATTTATCGGGGCGTGGCTGGTAGGCACTGGCAGTGGGCACTAGTTTGCTGTGCAGTCCGCACACACAAGACCACAATTATGGCAGAAGCAAAAGAGCCCAAAATATATAATTTTCACTCCGAGTGGGAGGATGATTATTTTTGTATCTATTCCAATTCAAAGTCCATCTGTCTCATCTGCAATGCGAGCGTGGCTTTATCGAAGAAGGGTAATTTAGGAGCGGCATTTCAAAACAGTGCACAAACGCTACGAGACGGAATTCCCTCCTAATTCTGCCCTACGCTCCCAAAAGGTGAGGGACCTGAAAGAACAGCTAAATGCACAGCAGTCCATTTTCACCAGGCCCAACAACAAGAGCAAGGCTGCTACCATAGCATCTTATCGTGTCAGTCACGTTCTTGCGAAACACATGAAGTCTTTCAAAGACGGCGAGGTTGTGAAAGAAGCATTCCTGGAGGCTGCCGACGCGCTTTTTGGGGACAGTAAAAATAACAGTAGCATTTCAACAGGTTTTTGATATAATAAAAACTCAAGTTAGATACCGTTATTAATCAGCTGTAAGTTTTAGTTTGTTTGAACTTATTCATTATAATTATTGTACAAAATGGTATAAGAATGCAAACTTTAAGATCTGTTCTGTTTAAATTGATTATAGTCTATTATCAATTCAGGTTAAGAAACTAGTGTTGCTTGCATCCTATTTTAAAGGCATTTCTTTTTATACTCTACTAAAATGCAAAAAAAAGAAAAGGGTTTGATTCTATTAATTTTGTCTTTTTTATTGCACTCTGGCAGCAGATTCCTGTGTAGCTTCAGATCTGAGTTGTCTTATTAGTAAAACTAATTTATACTTTTGTAGCAACACTATTTTTATATAATGACAAAGAAAGGGTTCAGTCTTTTCTTTTTTTCCTGTGTCATATGTGGCAGCACTGTTCAATGTTTCTTGAAAACATTACCCACTGTAGTATGTGACGTGTGAATAAACTCCCAACTCTGTATCAACAACACTGTTGTGTAACTTCAGTTAAACACTTGTGTGTGTGTAGATTAGAAAGAGGTAAGATAAAGGATCTGCAGTATTTTATGAAGTATTAATCGTACAAAGTCAGTTTTATACAAGTAGAATATTTACCTGGTAGTAGGCTGTCAGTAATGGCTGCGCCTCTCTATTTGGACTGGTAGATCTCGGCAGACTGGCCACTTTAAAAGTAGCTCTCGGTTCAAAAAAGGTTGGGCACCCCTGATCAACACTGTCAAGGTTCAAGGTTCTTTATTGTCAAACTAACATAGCTACAGAGTAATTATGTCGTTGAAAATCTTATGTCACAGGCTTCTCCAACAATGCAACTGAAAGAGGACCAGAAACACATTAAAAATATAATAAAATGTGGAGACTTTGGGATATTTATCTCCCATTCTTTTACTTTTCGGGCATTTTACAGACCAAACATGTCGTTGATGTCACTGTTTACCAAACTACCACTTTTTCTGAAAAATGCATAAAATGATGCAATATATGTTAAATACATGGTTTATACATGTAATTACTGGGGTTCCATTTCTTCTGATTACCTAATTTGGGCGTGCACATTTGCCGCGCGCAAACCTACCTCTTTTGGATTTGGAAAGGTTGGCATGTATGATAGCATATTGAACAACTGAACAACTAGCAAAACGTAGATTAGCATTGTAATCCGGCTGGCAAGTTGACGAACATCAAACAACTAAGTTTATTTCACACTTCCAGCAGAGACAACGGGGAAATCCCCTCTCTTTGCCCGCTCACAGACCCCCAAAGGACGGTACATTACAGTTGGCTTTCCTCCGACGCTGATAGCATGTATAGCTAACGAGGCTAGCTATACATGCTAGCGGGAAACATTGTATGACCGAACGTAGCAGACTACCCGTATAAGATTGCAATTATAAACACGTTATTGCTAGCCTAATATGAACCACTAGCTTTTGTTCATAGTAGTTTTATTACACTCCATTATAATTGCCGTTCCTCCGAGCTAACGTTCATATCGTGTTTGCTAAGGTAAACAAGAAAGCTAGGCTAGCATATTAGCTGGCAAGCTTACTGTGTTGATTATATAGATGGATTAGATAGATCCACACTCCTACCACAACTACTACTAACGAATCTAAAACAACTAAGTTTCTCTAATATTTTGTGATTTGCATTTGATTTCGTCCAGCCAGATCCTGGCGGAAAATACATCACGGGGACGGGACTACCACACTGAGGCCTCGTCCTAAAAAGCCCCGGCTGCGCTCAGGCAAGATGCCGACAACGGGGAGGAATGGATGATATACCGTGTATATATGTATATTTATGTTCATTTTGTACATTTCTAAAAATAAAGTTTGATGGAAATACTTAGTAGGCCTATCCTTTCTTCCCTGAATTATTTGCTCCTATAACATTCATATATAGCAAACCATGATTTGATTTCTCATCAAACAGTAGTAGTTTATTACAGGTAAAAATAACTTACTCTTCTATAACAACAGTTGTAGGTACAGTTCGGTTAGTTAGCGTATAAAATATACGGCTGTACCGACGCCATTATAAGACTGATGTTCCGAGAGCGAGCCGAAAAAAGCACTGTTAGACATGGGCGGAGCCTCTCTGGTGGTTGACTAATCAGAACAGAGTGGCCGAGCTGACCAATCGGAGCACACTAGGCTCACAGGGAGGGGGGGGCAAGAGCTCCAAAGAGTCGTTTAGTGGAGAGAGTGAATACTGCTGAATACACATACTTTACAGAGATGCTGTATGCGAAACCAATGTGAGTTTGGAAAATTGCACAGTATAAATCTATTTTAGTATACCTCAACAACGTAATTATGATCAGTGGAAATGGCCATGACATGGGCCCTTTAAGGCCTGGTGCTGCACAATAGGGAAAAGACTAACCTCCTTCGAGCCGGAATTGAACCAGCGACCTAAGGATCTCTGCATTTAGCACCTACAGTCCTCCGCTCTACCAACTGAGCTATCGAAGGGGATGCACTGATTGCTTACACATAACTTTATAAAAAGTACAATTTTAGTTCAAATGTTCAGTCTATGGCTAATTAACATGATAAAAACACAAATAAGTATCATTAATTATTTATATTTTGTGTTTATCATCCGCACCCCAGCAGATAATTTGCAATTTGTACACTTTGCTGTTATAGCTCTCTCCAAACCAGCACCTATAATCATCTTATTTTATAATGTTTGCTACATTGCTAGCGTGGTTTTAGACATTGCACACAATGTCAGGGACATGACCAAATCATGGCCAAATCAGACTCAATTCATTACGTCAAGTGAAATAGTAATAAACATTTTTTTTGTAATTATTTCTTTATTGTTTAGAAATTAATAACATTATTTTTAACTACAAAATGACAATTACAATTCAACAATGGAGTTACTTACTGATTATACAAATGTTTTTACAAGTCAATGTGCAGTGTTTGGGCCAACAAAGCAAGACAACTGCAACAGCTCAGGAGGAAATTTCAATTTTATTGTATTTTACAATGTTTAAAATAATCATCTTCATCATGCCACCGGCACTTGTACCATTCTGCAACTTAAAGAGTGGTGAATTTAAGACTAACACCAATGTGTCCATCAACACATCTGCTACTAAAGTTCAGAGCAGATAAAGTTAACAAGACAGATGATGTGTAAAAAATAAAAGCATTCTTTACCTCACAGAGAGCACATGTGTAAGGGTTTGACTTGCTCCTACAATTCATTACATTTCACACTCAAATAAAAGTCTACCATCACATTCCTTTTCCAAGGAAAAGATGACACAGATCAGCTTAATTTCTGTACACAATGACAAAAAAAACATCGTATTTAACAATACCATCTCTGTAAACCAATTGTAACAAATACAAAAATGGCATAATTAATATGACATGAACATACAATATAAAAAAGGCAATTTAATCTATAATAGTGGTAAGGAAAATGTAAAACAAGTGTACCTACTTTTCAAAATAAAATTACCTAACAAAGAAGGAAGGGGGAACCATCATCATCTGAGATAATGAATGACGGAGTACCAAAATAAAACCCTAAACTGGGAGCATGTGGGTAGTATACACAGTACACAGGTTATCTTTCACACTCACATTTCTTGTAACATTGTGATAAGGGGTCCTTTATAGACCCAACTCAAAGACTGGGCCGTGTGACATCAGTCAGGAAGGGTTGAGGTAAGAAGAGGATTCTATTACTTTTTTTAATTTAAAATATATTATTCTGATCTCGAACTGCAGCCAACAAGTCACATATTAAACATCCCATACTCTGTATTGCTTACAATTAGCTTATTTTTTAACTTGTTGGGATTCCAGCCAATCAGAAGCAAGCCCATTTGGGAAGTTTCCTGTTGTTGGTGTTAAATAGTTTTGGGCAATTGCAATTAAACATCTACAGTCATTAACTATTGATGATACCTAACTGGGGAATTCACATTTAAATGAATACTGGATATTTAATAGATGCCTAGTTGATCTTCATTCATAAGAATTTATGTGATTGATTGGCGTTTATAATCCCAGTGTTACGGTGGCCGACAGGTGAAAACCCGCTCCAGCAGCCCAACACATTTTCATTAGGAGAAACGCGCCGCAGTTTCATAAACAAATCAAATAACACAAATGTGCAAAAACACATGCAGATAAAGAATGACCTGACAACACAAGCGCATAAAAAAAAACATTCACCAACTTGCCGAAACAAGGGCAGCGTTTACTGAAAGCGCTGCATTAGCAAAGCGCTGCAAATAAATAACGCTGCAAGAAGCTCAAAACACAACGTAAACCAGAGTACACTAAAAAGGGATGCACACCGGGACCGTGCGCTTCTGTAGTCTGTTGTTGGAACGTTTTCTAAAAATGTACAGTAAGCTTTATAGTCTTATTTTAACAATGCGATCGCATGATTCCTTCTGATATTATGGCAAACACGGTGAATGTTTCTTAAATACTTGGTATGTGTTGTCAAGTTGGTACATTTGTTTCTAAATTTGAATGTATTTTGACACATTTGTCATTTATTTGTATAGTTTCTGAAGCTGCAGTGTTTCTCCTAATGGAACTGTTTTGGCATCTTGTAGCGCGTTTGCACTCGTCGACCAATAGTTTTTTCCCCTCTGTAAGTCATGACTTCAGGTCTACCTCTCCATCTTCTCCATCTTCTCCACCCCACCTGCCCAATCTGAGGATTTCCTGGCTGTGAACAAGCCGAAGATTACTTTATTTTTGAGAAGATAGGTGAACTAGATCTAATGAAAAATCCTCAGCATTTTTGTCAACGCTCAAATTGGTTTTATCTTCAGGTTGTTATTCACATCCTCAGCTTTTCTCACAGCATTTACATCCACTGTGCACCGTCACAAGGGACACAAATAAAGATACATAAGTAAATACTGGCACCTGTGTATGTACGGTTCACTTTCACCACAAGGGCTCGATAAGTAAAACTCCAAACGGACCGGGCCTGCGTTTGGTCTTTTGTCATTTCACACGCAATCATAAACACATATAAAAACCCATCAAGTCAACGTAGGAGGTAAAGTATGGAATGACGTTAAATGAGGATTATAGGTAACAATGATCAAACGTAACAGGTGGATAACTCATAGTAACAGTTTTATCTTGCAGTTGTAGTTTCTCAGCACCGCCACAGGGGGGAGCAGCAGCACTGAGCCACTGACAGGCAGGTGGTGTGAACAAAAGCGAGCACCATCTGTCTTTCCTCCTCCTCCTCCTCCTCCACCGCTCTCTGTTACCTCTTAATGATAACCTAGCTAAGTACCATACAAGTTGATTTGACACTTCTCCTATCCTACGCTACATTCTTACATCATCTTCGTGTCTTTCTGCTTCATCTTTCCCTCCTCCTGTCCCCTCCCCCGCTGCTCTGACTTCTTCCTTTGTCCGTTCTCTCCCGACAGTTTTCATCAAAACTGCGCTCTCTTTTTACTTTCTTTTCCTGGTTCTGCTTTCCCTCAGTAAATGTAACTTGTTTGTGTCCTAAGTGTTAGTACTGATTCATTCTCAGACATTTAGTAGTACCTAGCTGGCTAGTATGAGGACCCATGAGTGATATCATTTTTTTCCCATAGCTTCTTTCTCCTTTTAAAAAAAGAATCTGCTGCAGCTTTGTACTCCCCCCCCCCACTGCTGTTTATGTGCTTGCTCGAAAAGTGTGTAGACAGACTTGTACCGATAAGCGAACCCAGACTCAATCACCATCTTGAAAAGTGGTTCCCTGTTGTCTTCTATAACCTCAAACGTCCCCTGCACCCTGTTAAGTGCTGGCAGGGAGAGTGTCTCAGTCCTCCTCCTGCTTCTTCTTCTTTTATTTTCATGGTTTGTATCTCTCCGTCCTCTCTTTGCTGCTCTCACATGTTTCATGGTCCTCTCACTTCTCCATCAGTCCATCGTCCTCTGTGATGCCCTGAGCTCGCAGCTCTTCCAGGACGTTGTTCAGGTGTCCGGGGTCCGGGAAGCCGTGGCCCGTCAGGTTGGAGCCAAACTCTGTCTTATGGTGGACCTGGAAGAGAGGGCAAAGTCATATTTTATTTTTTCCAGTGACATAAAAACAAGAAACAAGGTACGTACATCACAAAGTTCAGCCTTTCAAATAAATTGTTTTAATACCTCGTTCCAGATGACGGTGTCAGACTCTCCGGTGGTGCTTGAAGTTCCAATGGAGAAGATCAACCTGCGGTCCCACGCTACCAGGAGCAGCTTCAGTACCTGAACAAAGGTTTGGGTACAGGTACACGTTTTAAAGGGGCCCTATATGCTTATTTCAGGTTTACATTTGTACTTTGTGCCTCTACTGTACAAATGATTCTGGTCTGGTAAATACTGTTTTCATGCACTGATGTTCTCATACTACATAACCCACTACAGGGAAGGGAAAACCCCATAAAAGGGCCGCTTTAAAGCATTTCCACGGTGGGAAAAAGTACATTCTTACAGCAAAAGGGCAGATACAAAGGCAAAAATAAAGTTAGAAGACTAACATATTAAATAAAGAGGACGTTATTAAAAGATTAAATCACCAAATGGTAAGAAATAAGTTGCAGCATTATAAAGAAAGTAATTGAACAAGTGAAAGTACTGAAGTAACAGCCAGTAATAACACAAATAAATTGTAAAATGAATAACAAATGAATATTGCAGAAACATTGATTATCTCTTAGTCTGAGGTAGACAAGTAGCAGTCAGTTATAACAAATCACAAGTCAAAAAGAGGTGTTACAGTCTGTACTGTGTGGTGGTCTACCATGGACAACGGCATCAAATAGATGTGTGTAAAGAATGGATTCAAATAGTTTGACGGTGTATTGTGCTCACCTTGCGTCCTTTCTCGCTGTCGGGGAGGTAGCAGTGTCGGGGGAAGCCTCTGGCAGTGAAGGGCTTCCCTGGGTTCGGATGCTCTGGTCCCTGGGAGGAGAGGACTGATGTTAGCAGGCTGATCAAACTAACTGAACCACCTGACGTGGGAGTAAGAGCAATACATCTGTGAGTACCTGAAGGCCTGGCGGTATGTTGTAGATGATGCGGATGCTTTTGCAGTCAGGATGCCCCGGCAGGGAGTGAGGGATGACGTGGTACTCCATCTTTCCCGCCGGTTGGTTGCCTGTCTTCACGCCGTAGATGGTTTTACAGGTGGGACACTGAAGGCTGTCAAGAGAGGAGTGAATTGATGAGCTCATTTGCAAAGCGGTTTGAGAGACAATGAGGAGGAATATTCTGTAACCTACCTGCCGTCCTTGTTGCCGTTATTATACATGGCCACCAAACACTGGAAATGGTACTGGTGTCCACACTGTGCTAACCGCCCGACTGACTCTGCCCGAGACACAGGGGTCACCCCTGGGCCCTTATAACCAGACGGACCCCCCAGCGGCTCCATACAGATGGTACAGTCCTAGGAGAGAAGAGAAAGAAGACCCTTTTTTTAGGCAAGGCACGCTTTTTATATACGGCTTTACAAATATAAAAAACGTCAAAAGCATAGTGCAACAGAAACAAGTTATACAAATACTTTATAAAACATTTCAAACAGTCAATAAAAAGCCAAGAAAATCAAATTAAAATAGCTAAAATAGAATTAGCCGGGTATAAAATAGAATAAAAAAGCCTATTGTGTAGTGTAAGATATGAATAGTTGTTTCATTCAATCAAAAGCAGCGGCAAAAAGAAAAGTATACTGTTTAATAAGAAACCAACATTATGCTTGTTATGAGATACACAAAAACTTGGGCTGCATCATTTGAAAAAAACAACTAAGGCCGATATTGCAACTGCAATGTGATTCATGATATCGGAGGGGTTGATCATTTTTCAATCACTATTTTCATTATATAAAAATATATTAAATTGTGGGATTTTCTTTTTTTTGTGACCAACTTTTTTATTGTTTTCTAGTTGCCCTCATAGAGGGACATATATATATATATATATATATATATATATATATATATATATATATATATATATATATATATATATATATATGTATACAGATACAAATAATGTAAACGATAGTATAAAAAAAGGAGAAAACTAAGAAAACAGATAGGGAGTGGTGGGCTTTCCTCAAAGAGGATCTGTACGGTGGCCGACCGGTGCTAATACATTACAACGGCCAAATACATTCCATTAGTAGAAACTCGCTGCACTTTTAGAAACATTGCAAATGTACCAAACACATGGAAATGAAGAAACAGCTTCACCAACTTGACAACACAAGCGCAGAATTTAGAAAACATTCACCAACTTGACGAAACATGAACAGTGTTTATCTACGCTACATAAACAAAACGCTGCAAATACAAAAAGCAGCAAAAAGCTCATAACACAACAGAAACAGGGAAACTAGCTGACAAAGCTAGGACCGGAGCACTTGTTGATGTCAGCACTTTTAGTAAACACTGAGCATGTGTTGTCAACATGGTGAAGATGTTTTGCTTGTTTTTTGGCTCATTTGTGTTTTTATATTAGAATTGTTTCTGTAGCTACAGCGCGTTTCCCCTAATGGAAATGTTTTAGGTCGTCGTAACGCGTTTGCACCTGTCAGTCACCGTAGCTCTGTACCTAAGAAATATATTTTGTCTGTAGAACACGATTTGCAGGCCAGGATATCTCCACAACAATTCATTTAAAATGGTATTTTGAAACATATGTAGCCTTTAACAAAGTTGTACGTCCTGCTATTTGAATATTGCATTAGCAGATATTGATATTTTGCTAAAGTTTCAATGAACTATGCATTCTAATAAATACTGTTCATACCTCCTCTGGTGGACTTTTTACTTTCTGCAGGTACTTCTTTACCACCTCCTCTGGAGTTTTACCTGCACACAGGACGAAAAGAGGCTTACAGTCAAGAAAAGGTTAACCTTTAATTTCTCAAACTCTCACAATATATAAAAGCTGATGCATTTAGGGAGGTTTAACTATGTTTATGTAGAATTTCACTAACTGCTTTTGCTTACCCTTGCGAGCCTGCTTCTTGGTGGTCTTTCTGCAGCAGTGGCCGAAGCCTGGCACGGGTTTGATGTCGCCCTTGCTGACAGGTGGGGGGTGCAGCACCAGTTTTGGGGGTCTGGTCAGACACACAGGCAGAGCGGCAGCACTCATCAGGATACCTGTGATCCCTGAGACACAGCAAAGAGAACATGAGTGTGGTTAGAACAGAAAGAATAAGACAAATATCTTTGACTCTTTGTAAATCTGAAGCAGCCCGAGTATAGTGTGTGTTTGAGATTTACCGGCCAGTGCAGGGTGGACCGGGCTGGATCCATTGAGGTTCTTCACTGGGACGGTGGGCACACTGCAAGAGAAGACACAAACTGCTTGAGTATTTCAGAGTCAGATCATACCTTAAAAGACAAAACATAGTTGGAGGTTACCCTACACTGTAGCAGACAGATACTCACTTCGAAAAATGGATGACTGTCATTATAGCACTAAATGGTTGCAACCATAAATAATGACAATCAATTCAAATGAGCTTAATCATTTAACATTTTCAAAAAGGAAATACGATTGAAGACACCTAAAGACACAATAAGAGTGTTTTCGTCCTCTCTCCCTCTGTATTGCCTCGTTCTCAGGGTAAATCTACGCACAACTGTCGGTGTATTTATGAGAGCTAATCCACAGACAGCCAATTGCTGGAGATTATCTGAATCATCATCATCGTCACAATCGTCATCATCATCCTCCTCACCCCTTTACCTACTGTAGCTACACAATTCCCTATAAATGATCTCACTGAGAGAATAAACGTGGCTCTTCACTGTGACTCGTGTCTAATAAGCAGTCAGTACTGAAGTTAAAAGATGATTAATAATAAAACGATTAAAAAAACAATAACTAAAGCGGGACCAAACCCAGTTCACCCTGTCTTTCCACAAAACCCGACATATGACAGGTGCATTAAATACAATAAACCACACCCATGGGACATTAAGCAGAAGTGATAACCAATTACAAAAGTAAACCAATAGTGATTATGATAATAATAGATGACAGCTTAATAATCATTTTGACTCCCACACCTACAAGTGACAAACCCACCTGTCACACACAGATACTGTTTCAACAGAGTTGTATAACATTTTGGTGAAGTAAAACATTTCTGGTAATTTAAAGATTCTGTTATCTGCAAATACAAAAAAACAATGTAACTCTCAGAAATAGAGGAGCTGTGATTCAAGAAGGAAATCAAACAAATAGAAAATAATGTGAATAATATACATAAAAGACAGTTTCTTTTAAAAACAGAACCTCCTTCGAGCCGGATTTGAACCAGCGACCTAAGGATATCAGCATTGACCACTACAGTCCTCCGCTCTACCAACTGAGCTATCGAAGGGGATAAATAGGAATTTTTGCATGTGTATGGAAACACAGTCCCTAACACTAACAGTGTGATGGGCAGCAGGACGATGAACTGTTGTTTCCTGTCGTTGGTTTAGCTTTAACAGGCTTTCTGTTAACTAAGCTGCTTTCACTTAACCCCACTCAGTGACACATGACGATGCAGGAGTGAATGACTCACTAATGTGCTGTTTACACGAGAACGCTTTTTTGATATCGTATTCGGTTCGTTTGCGTTTCGTATGCGTTTCCGTGTAAATGGGGTCTCGTGTGTATTTGTGTGTGAGTCTGCACCAGTGTGGAAGAGGTGTGAGGTTTTATCTCACTTGCTTCTGAGAGATAAGCAGAACAGAAAATGTGTAGTAGAAGAACAGTAAACATACAAGTGAGGGCTCAACAACAGAAAACATGGATGCAATGTGGTATCAATACAAATTCATAGATGTAGCTTCCAAAACACACAGTTGCTGCACATGAGTAGTGCAGTCATGTTGTATTTAGTAGGCCGATCCTGAGGTTAGCGTCACATGGCTCCCCTGACAAAAAAGCAATGGGATTTTAGAATATTGCAGAAAATAAGAGCTGCGGCAAACACACGTTTATGATTCTTAGACATTTTGTTCAGTGGGATAATCTCCACATATTATCACCACTTTATGATTTCTGAATTGTAAATGCTATTGGCAGAGGTAAAAAGCTAACATTAGGCTGTTAACGAACTACTTCTCAGTCACGTGACTACAAATCAACAATGCAAAGCTAAAAGCGGCTATCTTTCAACAAAGCTGAGATTCAAGTTGGAAATCAAACCAATAGCAATAATATAGGATTCAATGAAAACAGCACCTCCTTCGAGCCGGATTTGAACCAGCGACCTAAGGATTTCAGCTTTTGCCACTACAGTCCTCCGCTCTACCAACTGAGCTATCGAAGGTCTCCTTGCAGCTCTGCTATAAATAGACTGTGTGCTGATGACGGATGGGAAACACCTACATTAGATCTTATTGGGATCCATTCAATGAGTGACGATGACAGTGATCGCACACACACACACAGAGATAGATATCCCTGTCACCAGATCTATTAATATTTAATAGGCTGCTGGTGAGACAGAAAGAGAGGAGTGTTGAGTCTGATCCTGGATAAGCTTCATGTAGCTCATTAACACACTTTCAAGCTGTCCCACTGATAACACACACATATACACACAGCTCCTTTGTTTACACTGACGACCCGTTATCACACTGGGGCGGGGGGGGGGGGGGGGGGATTTTTCTGCGTACAGTTGGCTACAAGTTGCAGCAATTCCCAGATTTGAACATAGTGCTGGTTATGTACCAAAATAAATGGTCTGATTAATTTCAGTGTTCTATTCATTAAAATTCAATATATTCCTCCATTATTTTGAATAAGAAGAAGAAGTGGGGGAGGAACAACCAGAAAGTGATGACAAACCAGAACAAAGAGAAGGAGAAAAAGAAGAAAAAGAAATAGAAGAAGAAAGGGAAAGAAAAAGATAAGCATGAAGAAAAAGAAAAGAGGGAAGAAGAACAACGAGAAAGGGACATTCTTAAACGTTATCATTATAGAGATACTTTAGAAAGGAATTATAGTCACCATTTTGATATTGTGATGACACTTATATCGACTTTTGTATACGTCACTTTTAATCCTCCATGAAAAATGACTCACAAGAGGAGAAAGTGCTTGGGCAGGAAGCCAGGCAGCACAGAGGGAACATTAAAACTGTCATAGAAGAAGAAAATAAACACAAGACCCATGAAAGAGGAAGGCCCTGTCCCTGTCAGGGGGGGAGGGCCAGGATGGGACCCCAGTCTCTTGACCCCCAGTGACCTCACACCCGCCCACCTTTCTCCGCCCGCTTCCCACAGGATCACACACACACTTGCTCAGCTTTGTCTCACACACTCCCTCCGTCCCCTCTGCTACTGCTGTCCCCTCGGGACCCAGATGGACCTCAGCTGGCCTGATTCAGACACCAGACAATAAAACACACACACACATTCTCACACACACATTGTCTCACACACATTCTTAAGGACACACAAACTCTGTAACTCAAACACTAATGTTGATATTCCTCTGCTTTTGTGAACAATTATTATACGTGACAGGAAGTGCTAGATGGGGTGACTGCGTGATGTTTTTTAAAGATCATAATGCATTTGAAATTCTATTTTGTATTATTTTCTATTGAGTAAACAAGGTGGATGCTATGAGCTACTTATATTTACTTAAGTATTTATCTGACACATTAACAGCTGACACAATTTATTTTGATTTAGCTTGTTGCTACGAATACTCAAGGCCCTGATTCAAAACTTTAATATTGATAAGATTGAATTATTTATATAATATTAAGAGATGTTTAACTAGTTGAAAGCATTCTCTGAAAATAATAATAATTGTTGGGATCCTAAAACGTATAGTATATAGCTAACAAATAACGGATATTAAATTAGAATTCATTTACAATAATTGTCACATCTCAGCTTTTGTTCCAATCTTTCATCAAAGATATGAACTTCATTTCTTATTCTCACAGCTTTTTTTAAGAAAAGTGATCTGTTATCTGCGAGAGGAGAGACAAATCCCTCTTACAGTTTTTGAGACTACAAAACTATTTTTTTTGTTGTGCAGAAATGTTACTAAGTGATGCTTTTTTTACCTCGTAAAAAAATCTTTGGAAGAGAAAGAAAATCTGGCGAGTCCAACCCAATGGAAGGCTTTGCTAATGCTAAATGATGAATACCTATACATTTATTTTTCATGAGGTTGGCGATAGATTTTAACTTTAGAAAATATTTTACGCAATATATCAAATGTTTCTTTTTTGTAGAGACACGTAATATACAATACACATTTGTTACTAGCTTGAGCTTTCCAATCATACTGTACATTCTTTGTATTTCTCCTTCATCAATATTCATTCAAGGAGTTTACCAAAAAGAAGCCACAGCATGGGGGGCCGGGGGCCTACAGGGTAAGTCTGCTGACCGTGTCACAGCAAAGACCTTAAAGTTTTGTTCCTGCTGTCCAATCAAAATATAACATTTTAACAGCATAATCACTGCTAGCTGAAAAGCCAAATATCCCATGCGCATTAGCCAATATATAACAATACTCAGAAGATACATTTGTTTGCTCTGGGAATTATTATTGAATTATTCTCGTTCCTTCAGGAATATTAGTTTTTCTCAAGGTTTCACTGTTCATTTCCCTTGAATGTGTAAATAGATAACACTTTCCCCTATGTGTTTTGCTACAGCTCCCTCTATGGGTCACACATGTTTAATATAGACCTGTTGGTTCAGTGAACAGGTGCCAGCACACTCTCACTGCTCCTCTGCTCTCCTCTCACACAATATACAGTCAGACTTTATGGAGTTCTCTCTTTCCCCCACCTCTTCCTGCCTAATTTCCTTCAACTCTGTATGCTGTCTGTGTTACACCCTCCCCTCAAAGCACCCCCGACTCATTCCCTCCCTTTGTCTCATTCCCATAATCCCCCTCTAGAGAGAGTGAGAACACACTCTCCGCTGCATCTCCCGTTAGGATGGTCAATATTTACTGTGTGCGATAGGGAAGGACAATGTGTGTGTGCTTGTGTGTGTGTGTGTGTGTGTGTGTGTGTGTGTGTGTGTGTGTCTGCGCATTTGTGAAATGCCTTCACAGCCGGGCAACACTCCATGTATGTGTGTATGTGTGTGTGTGTGTGTGTGTGTGTGTGTGTGTGTGTGTGATGTGTAACCTCCCTCTCTAGTGTTGGCCTGATCTCTTGCAACACAGTGTGATCAATCTTTGACAGTTTGATGACTCGTTTCTTTGTCTTGTACCCCCCCCAAACCATTCCCACAAGCCCTTGTCTTGGTGCATGTCTGAGTCTGAGACTGTCCACACACACACACACACACACACACACACAACCTCAGACACACACATAAATGTATCAACACACCCCTCCTCTTGTCTGAATTATGATTGTCTGGGGATAGAAACAATGCTGACCGAATAATACAATATCTTTTTTCTTTTGATATAAAAAGGGTATTACGCAACTTCCACCCACCCCAGAATAATAATAAACACCCTTAAAAACTCTACGAGGGGCTTCTTAGTAAGGCGTTAGTAAGTTTACTAACTTGAGTTATGTTTAGATGGCCCAACTTTACAGGCTGCAATAAGGAAGCAGAGCTAGAGAGATAAAACACCAAGAGCTCATGAAAATCAAAAAAGTCAGAAATACAAAGTTGGAAAAGAATATGGAAAGGGGTTTGAGCAGAGAGAGGGGGAAGGAGACCAGAAAACTCGCAGAGGCTCAGCATTGTGCTGCTAATGCGGCCCAGGCATGGGTAATCCAACAAAGGTTACTGTGGAGACCAACAATGAGGCTCTGAGGGGCCCAGACTGCTCAGACGCGACGGGAGAGGAGGGAGGAGAGGAGCCAGGGTAGGAGGAGAGTGGGCAGGGACATACGACAGGGATAGGAAGGGGGGTTCTACCAAAACAAATCTACATCTAAACCATCCAACCTTGCTTTTGCCAAGAGAAGAGAAAAAAGCACCTGTTGTTTAAATGACGAATGGGAAAGCTTCCAGGAAGTTGTGTGACATCATGGAAAGTTACATCACTATGAAATCTCTTTTTTCTTTCCGGTTGCAGCACCGAATAATCTGTGTTAAGAAGTTGAGTAACTGATAGCTGATTAAAAGCGGCCACTGTGGGTCAAAGAAGAACGGGGAAACAGCACGTGTGTTCAGGCAGCACTCGCTCAGAGCTTTGAGGAGGAAGTGTCATTAGTTTTGCAGAAATGTTGTTAAGAGATTCTCAAAACTTCATATGGATGCTTGTCTCAAATTAAAGACTGGGCTCTGGTTTCAGACAGAGGGTGAAAGGACGTGCTGCAGCACGAGCAGTATGAGAAAAATACTTTTTGAACATTAACGCATGTAAACATGTCACAGTAGAGGCACAACATAAGAAGATAACCCTGTAAATTAGCATAATAAAAATGGAAGGAGATATTAGGAGATTTAGCAGAGAAAGAAATTATGATTTAGAAGAGACACAGTGAAGGGAGAAGGGGGCTGGACAATCATTGTAAAAGATGCACGAGGCTGACAGTTTGTCAAATCTTAGCTCATTCACCATTTCATCTGCAACTGTGTTTTTAATGCATGTGTTCTCCTGATTCCTGAGGTCTCCACTAGGGATGCCAGCGATTATTCGTTACAGTCTCCATAATCGAAGATTAGGGGGGTGGGTCGAATAATCGATTAATATTCGCCAGGGCTGTCCGATTTTCGATTTTGATCATGGTCAGTTTCTGGCATCCCTAGTCTCCACAGTGGCTTTCTATTTTAGAAAGAAAGGTGGAGGTCAGTAGCACCGACCCATGCAGTGCTGCTCTTCGCTCAGACCTTTGCACCTTGCATACTTTATACACAAAATATCTCTGAGGAAAACTGCTGACCCCCAGAGAAGGCTCGGCTGACTTTTGACAAACACGCAATTTTAATAGAGGTCACTTACGCTTGCCTCCATTTTGATTAAATGATTCTTCAACTTCTCAATAATATGCTTGTGATTTACTGTCTTAGCTTTTGAATGATTAAATTCACTGCCTGCTACTGCCGACACAACACACATGAATGTAAATACTTTAATATTCATATTTTTAATATTTCTTCTAGTTCTCTATCTGTGTTTTAATTGTTGTTTTACTTTGATGTATGCACCACGACACCAGTCCAATTCCTCGTAAGTGTAAACCTACCTGGTAATAAACCTGCTTCTGAATGGAGGGTAGGTATTACTGAACACCTATTACTCTTTCAAATCTACGCAAATTTCCCCTCCGTGGGACTAATAAAGGTATATATAAAGGTCAACTGTTACACTATCCGTCACCTTCCTGTGCAATTAAGCATTACTTTCACTTTCGTTTGGTACATTTAGTTCAACTCACCAAATATTTATTCAAAAGAGCTGAACACATCCGAAATAAGAGTTGTGTGTGTGTGTGTGTGTGTGTGTGTGTGTGTGTGTGTGTGTGTGTGTGTGTGTGTGTATGTGCGTGCATATCTAGCACTGCCTGTACCGCAATGAGAGAGCATTTTTTGCGTGTTGGAACATGCATTTCTTATACATGTCTGAACAGACTCAGAGCATTTGGAAATTCAAGTAGCCCTGCTGGATGTGTATTAATAACAACAACATTCCGTTAAACCAGTTTGCATCTTGTTCCAATATGCACAACGAAAGAAGTGCCATGAAATGTTGGTCTACATTTAAACTGTTGTTGACTCTGAAACCGAATATTAAACCTCTATTCTGATCCTGTAGCTCCTTCTGATGTTTATTGTGGAACTTCATACCCCACATGCTTAGACCATGTATATACTGGAAGTTGAAAAGACTCTAGTCAGTATTCTTGTTATGGGTGTGTTTGATTTACTCACCCTGAAGCTATGAGCGCTCTGGACTGGGCCATGGCTATCCTCTGCAACGCTGGTCTACTCAGCCCCGCTAAGCTAGATCTCTGTGGCAACGGGGCATGGCACATTGTTGCCGCCGCCGACAGTGGGTGCTGCGGCTTCATCGGCATTGGCGACGGTGATGGCACAGGAGAAGGTGGCGTGGTCACACTGTTGGCGGGGGTAACTAATGTGGCGGTTGGCACTGGTTCGTTGGCTGAAGATGAGGAGTGCTTGGGCGGGATGGACGGAGGGGCCGCGTTGGGTTTGGAGGATGGAGGCTGAGGGGGCGGGAGGGATGGGGGGGGCGGCCTGTTGGAAGACGAGCTGACCACCAGGGTGGAGGTTCCGGCGGTGAGGGCGGCCAGGGACTGAGCGAAGAGCTGGGCGTTCCTTCTTGGCGAGGAGATGTTTCTGGAGATGGCGAGGCCGTGCGGCAGCGTCTGGTAGTAGTTGGAGTTGCCGTTGGAGTTCAGCTGCTGTCCTCTCCCTAGGGTGGCAGATTTAGACGGACTCAGGGGTTTTGAGGAGATGGGTGGTAGGTTCCTGGCCCGTTGCATGGTTAGTGAGCGTCTACCTAGAGTCTGTATCCCTGGCCCTCCTGCATTGGTCTTCACACTAAGGACCAGCATGCATTGCTGGCAGGAACAAGGCTGGCCCAGTCCAGGAACCGGTAGGCCACCATTGGGATAGATAGAGCTTCCAGTCCCTGTGCTGGCCCCCGACACCCCAACACCCAGCAGGGCTCCTCCTCCTCCCCCTTTAGGTATTGGGACAGGACCAGACACCAGAGGGTAGGCTATGTCTGCTCGTCTCTGAAGTCTCCGACACCTCTGGCTCTGTCGGTTTACCTGCAGGAAAACAGAACAAAACATTAGTTTCATGACATTTCCAATTTGAACTAACTATCATTATTACACCTTAGTTGAATAGTTGATTCTGATTGGTCAATTTGGACATTTAATAGTCTGCTCTTTTTCAATAGCAGACTGTTGCTAAGGATGATCTGATCAATGGACCATGTGAATTCAAATCAATCCACAGAAACAAGTAACCTGAACGTGGCCAACGTGCTTTTATATTTTTGGAGAGCACAACACTTTGGATTCATGATGGCTGAACTGTCTCCAGTAAAGACAGGAAAAATAGAAGAAGAACAAGGAAACAGCCCAAAATTGTAAAGACACAGAGCGCTGAAAGATGGAGAAATCAACAGAACAGAAGACAGACAGGAAGTAACATGAACACAGTATGGGTTAATGGAAAAGATACTGTGCACAGACTTGGACGGTTACAGAAAATGTCGATCAGTGCTGCCCTCATTTGAAGTTACGTTTTCTGATAATGTCTTGCTCGCTGCACATTATCCCTAACTGTATGAGGGTCCTGCAGCCTGTAGCTAAATATCCTAAAGGCAAGGAATGACTTGTATGGAAGAAGTTGATTTTTCATTAATGTCCTTGTTATGAACTTAAACACACCTGCGTCATGTTCTGAAAATCAATGACGTAGCAGAAGCCAAGTGGAGTCAGGTCGAAACAGGGCTGCTGCCGGCTGTGGGCGTTCTCGATGGCGATGGCCACCTCCATGTCGTAGGCCGTCCACGAACCTGCATCGTTCTCCCACTCCCACTGCCAGCCCTGACCTGGGGCCGAGGCTGGGTCATAAAAGCTCCTCCGCACCGGACGGATGGTTCCTGATAAAGAAAGATATCAATAAAAAAAAAAGTTGCATTAATTATTAAAGTCATCCCGTTTCTTTCAGTTTTTTCAAAAGTAACCAAGAGACTTAGGTAAACTGATTTAGGAGCAAAGCAAAGCTAGTAAAATAGGGATGTAGTAAAACCTTTATTTGACAAAAGCTTGGTAGGATCTTCGCAAAATAAAAAATGACACACGAAACAATTGTATATGGTAATAGTATACAGTAATATGAAATAAAAATAGAAAAAATTATTTATCATAAACTCCCAGGAAAACCATGGGATGAAGTGCGAAAAGATGGGCCCAAAATAATCCTGGTCTGTATTTAGGACATGAACTCGAGGACATCACATGGGTTAAGAGCTACTTCCTGTACAAGCCTTTGGACATTTGAATGACATCACATGCAGTAGTGACCTGAAGTTCAGAGAAACAACATGCACACTGACGTAAATCACCACACTGTCACACTGTGGCCAACCATTTGTGGATATATGTCTGTAATACATGCCTGTACAATCACTCAATGTCTGGGTTACATGTCGTCTTATTGTTAATTTCAAGGTTCTATGTAATACTTAAAAATTGACCTAAAATGTTCAAGTAAATCAACAAATTGAACATTTGGGATCTAGATAAAATGTCTGAGGGTGCTGTTGTATATATCTTTCAAAGAATGTCAAAATGTACATATAGTTTTCTATTCAATTGTTAAGTGAATCATTAGGCCACTTGAGAAATTAGAATCAAATGATTGTGTTATATAAACTTAAACTACAATTAACTAGGTGATATTTCTCCCAAAAAGAGGTCAATATTTCATGACATGTTACTTGTTAGACGCTTTTATCCAAAGCGACTTACATCCTCAATACTGTGGACAATCCCCACAGGAGCAATTTGGGGTGAAGTGTCTCAGGGACACAACGACATGCTGACTGCAGTGGGGTTTGAACCTGTGCTCCCCTGATCCGAACACCAACGCACTAGCCCACTGCGCCACAACCCAATATCAGATCCACTTTTATGTCCAATTATGGTATTATATTGGAACAAGTATACAACTTCATACGTACATTCCAATACCAATGTGATGGCATAGAGATCAGCCTTTTAGAAACAAAGTATAAAAAGACACAAAACGATACAACAAAAAATAGCCATTGAGCCATAATGTGGCTTTTCTAACTAGATGCATGATTTTAATAAAATGCTTTGAGGAGTGAGTAAACATATCCGCCAAGATAATATCACAAAGTGATGGGGGAAGGCAGCCTTGTGATACTGATCCCTGCAGGGCAAGGAGTTCTAGGAAGCATTCTGTCTACTTTCCCCTTTTTATCTCACATTCATACATACTGTTTTTACCATCAGTCCAATATTACTAACAAATCAAAGCACATGTAAAAGAAAGTATACAAATAAATAACCAGAGGACAACAGTGTTTGTCTCCAAGTGGGACAGAAGGGTGGAAGGAGGGTCCCTAAACTCTCCTTCCACCCTTCCAAACCTAAACCAACCAACCAGACACTACCTAAGTCTCCAGGGGTAACAGTCTATTCAGTCAATGCCAGGACAAGGAGAGAGTGTGTGTGTGTGTGTGTGTGTGTGTGTGTGTGTGTGTGTGTGTGTGTGTGTGTGTGTGTGTGTGTGTGTGAGAGTGAGCGAGCGAGAGACTAGCACAAAGAGGGGATATTGGCAGAGTGGCATCAGCACACTGACATCAAAAGGAACGGGTTGAATGAATGGGGGGGGGGTGTGATTGTCTGAAGTGGACAGTAAGACTGAGAGAGTGAATCAAACTGAGATGAACCCCACTGTATTGTTTGTTGTGTATGAATATTCTGGTATAGTTCATAGCTACTCGAATCCCTAAAAGGAAGATGTCTATGTTACAGTAAGACAGATATGTGGCACCAAGACGTATGCGAGACAAATATTTGTTTGCGGAAGTCTATGACACCCGCCTTCTCTGTGGTTCTGTGTTGTATGAATCCAGCGCAGCGAGGAGCACTTGACCTGCTGATTAGCATGTGAAATGTTATTTTTTCTCTCTCCAGTCCATTCACAGCGAGACAAACAGCAGACCGAGAACAAGCTGCGCTGCTGTCTGTGTTTCTGACATGGGCAGAGGAGGCAGCTCCACAAATAGCTCAGAGCATGGCCGAGACGTAAACAAAGTAGATGTTTTTAATGGTTTAAACAGGGTGCTAGTATGCAAAGACCTCATCACTAGAAATAGAAAGTAAAATAAATTAAACTTGGACAACAGAGAAAATAAAGGATTCAATTGTTTTATTATTATTATTCATAATCAAAAGCTACTTACTTCGATTAAGTCTGCTTTGTCATTTCGCTGAATCTGTTTTATCGTGTCATTTCCAGTGTGTCTAAAACATGGACTTGCTGTGGTAACAAGTCCATTCTAACCACATGCTATTTGAACCTCTGCATTATGCTAATACAAATGCATCATGCAAGTAAGAGACATCTAACTTTTTTCCCATTCTTACTGTCCAGGACACTATCGTGACTGACGCATGTTACTTCTCTGACATTATATTATGTCAACACTAACTGTTATCCAGCGCAAAGTTGCATTCATTTGAGTTTGCATGCTAGTTAGCTTACAAAGCTAAATTATGAGCTCCCATTAAGAGTTTTGCTCCGAGATATTAGTATGGGTTGTAATTTAACAAGAAATTGTATTTTTGGATTAACTGTATGCTGATTACTCAAGGATACATTTGTTTCGGACGGGAGCAGGCTTGTTTTGCTATCCAAGATGCTAGCCAACATATAAGCTAACTTCGCCAGCTAGCAACTGTAGAAAGTTGACGTCCAATATGTCTTCATTAGTCTGTGCCTGCTAATATGACAAACTCATAGAAGGGTTAAACTCGCCTCTAACACATGGTTGCTTGCTAGAAAATAACAAATGTTTTGACATACATATAGACCTAAAAGATAAAGTACTTGAAAGTTTGAAAGGGGAAGATTCATAAAAGGTGCATATGAATGTATATGATTGAGAACAACAATTGGGTCAGATGTTTCTCTCACATAGGGAAAAGAAGGCCGGACAGACAGACAGACAGATAGTTTGAAACGTGGGCATGAATTCAGAATATGACCAAAAGACCCTCCTTAGATCCTAAACTAGGCCCCATTTCAGCACAGGAGACTGGGTGTGTGTCTGTTTAATCATATTATGTAAATGCACATATGCTTGGGTGTGCCAAATATCTGCAAATAAATCAGAATCAGATTTACTGGTCAAGTTTAGGTACATGCCCAAACAGATAAAAGCAGATGTTATTGGCTCTTACAGCTGTGGGAGTGTTTGTTACACGCAAATAATTTGCAGGATTATATCCATATGCACAGAAATGCAGCCAAAATGTTAACACTGCTGCTCTCTCACAGTACCACTCCTCTTCGGTCAGCGCTGGATCAACCAATGCTGCTGTGTTCACATGTCACTCACAGCTGGAATCAAGTGCAGCGTGTCTGGGTGTGGCCACACTGCAGTTATGCACGGCTCAGACTGTGCGTTTCAAATATGAACCAATGGTCCATACGCGATCTACAAAAAGAATATAGCTTGAAATGTCATTTAAACCCAGACCATACAAACTTGAGTTGAATGGACTGAACACGTTGTTGTAATGGTGGAGAGATACAAGCAAAAGTAAACACGTGAAATATGTGTGAATATTTAAAAGCACCAGTGAGAGAAATTAAAATGAGTGAAATCTAGGAGAGGGAGGACAAAGAGAACGAAGGCAGGTGGAGAGAGACTGGCCATCTGGTCCTCATTGTTCTCACTACCACTGACCCCTCCCTGCAAACACACACACACACACGCACGCACGCACGCACACACACACACTTTGTGCTCCTCACACTTATCAAGAATTCAACAGCAGTGACTCTGTGGGAAAATGTTGCATTCAAGATGATACAGCACTTCCTCTTCCTCATCACACGACCATATGTATGGCTGCAATTCACACAGGGGTTTGTACACACCTATGTAATAATTGATTGAATGAGGCTGTAAATCACAATCATGTATCATCAACCTTTACTCACACCCGACGACAATTGTCCTCCCAGCCTCTGCTTATCCCACCAGTGTGTTTTTGATATAATAAAGGGACTCCAATGACATAAAACATTGACTAAGAAATATAAAACAGCCAGTCAAAAAACGGTTTCACAGTGGTCTTGGTTTAGTGCTAAATATTAAACTAAATATGATGCATGTATTTTAAAAACCAGTGCATATTCTAGGGCTGAACAATTTGTTTAGATATTGGAGGGATTGATAATTTTCTCCTAATTAAAAAAAAAATATATGATTAAAATGATCACGGTTAGATTATTCAGGACGATCTGTAAAACACATATATATTTAATTTAATGCTTAGAATACAAATTGACATCTAAGCAGCACCACAATACCTAATTCTGAATAATATTTACCCATATTTTGTAACAAATATTGCACATCCTGCATTTGGAATATGGCACAAACCCATATTGCGATCCAATTTAATTGTGCAGCACTAGTGTGTAAACATAAAAAGAAAGTTTGAGTCCGGTCAGCGACTAAAAAGCGTCCACATTTTATTTTACACTAAATAGGAAGGTACCACAGGATAACACTAATGTGTTTGTTCAGTTTTTTCTAATGAGCATAAATAGACTAGGCTACACATGCATTTTGTTGCGCAACCCTGTGATCACACACACACACACACACACACACACACACACACACACACACACACACACACACACACACACACACACACACACACACACACACACACACACACACACACACACACACACACACACACACACACACACACACACACACACACCACACACACACACACACACACACACACACACACACACACACACACACACACACACACACACACACACACACACACACACACACACACACACACACACACA